ATGATTTATGATGATGATGATGATGGAGATGATGATTGTGCTGGTGGTGTTTGCGCCTCATTCATGAATCCAAACTTTAGGCTCCACAGTGAACCAGCAGTTCTAACGGCCTTCCAAGTCTTAGGATTTCGCTTTTGGAAGTTTCAGGTTTGGTAGGCGTTTCAAAGTGTTGGGATAACACGCCACCAGGATGCCGTCCTTTGGGAGGTGAAGGTCGATGTCGCCAACGGCGATGGGAACGATGCGGAGATCACGAGCTCCATAATCGATGGCATCCCTCGATCCAGCGCCAAGGCTTATCTTATGTAAGAGGCTTACGGCGTGGAATCCAGCAGCATGTCTCGTCTTGTTTGGAAGTTGCTCAGCAGAATACGCATACATTCATCTGAAGATTTTTGAGGAACCCAGAGATGTCGTAGATCCCGGGGATCCTTGGGAATAGACCCCGACTTATGTGGCTTTCAGACAGAGGCTGGAGGCTTCATGAAGGATGAAGAGGACGGTTCGGGCAGCCATCTCTCACTGTGTTACGCGACGTTTGTGGGGGAGTCTAGTTGGGTCACAGAAATTGAGTTTTCTAAAGCTTTCGGATGTAGGTGTGGCCTGAGGACTGAGTTTTTCGTATCTCCGAGGTCAGTTTTTTTCTGTTCGCGGGGTTGTGTGTTTGGGTAGTTTCCCTTGAGCCACCATGAACCAAAACCAAATTCTCGTATATCGCTTACAGTCAAGGAGGTCATACTTATGAATCAGTAGATTCAATCCTGCTGTTTGAACCTAAGCTGCTTGCACTTGCATCCCAAAGCTACGCCAGCTCTGTACCCCCAAATCCTAAAACCAGTTGTGCCTGTAGGCCCTAGACTCAGCATATCCGAAACCCATCAAGTCTAAACCGTAGTTCCCTGCAACCATCCACAGGTACAGCCCAAACCTCACGTGCTGCGCTTAAGTACGAATCATTCTGCTCTTTCTACTCAACAAGCCTCTGGCCTAGAGCTGGAACCCAGTGCGTCAAAGCCCTGACCTTGAAGCCAGCGCTGACCTGACTATTAGCAGAGAATAAAGGAATATAGTCTCTATAGGGGGGGGGGTTCCCAAAATTAGGGGTACCTTATTGTGATCCCCATAAGAAGGATTATAGTATACTGAGGTCTATATAGGGGCAGCCTAATTTTGGCAACGTACCCTACGATCCCCATAATGTATCCCCATATTTCCCTAGTAAGCACCAGCACGAAACTGAGGCGGCGAGCGGACGTACAGAGCCGAGGTCGCGCTCATGAAGGAAGCCCACCAAAGGAAGATCCGGGGTAACATAAATACAAATATAAATCTATGTGGGTAATTTGGGGCTAGAAGGATATAATATAGATTAATTTATGAGAAGGTGGAAGCTGCAATCTTGGGTGTGGGGTTTAGGGATATTAGTGCAGTAAGCATCAAGTGTTTGTGGGAGTGCCTATATTGAGGACTAGGAGTGTTTGGGGGTTCTATGTTGGGCCCGCTTTTTTTTGGAAATGCTTATGTGGGAGCGGGCCGGAAACATTGGGCTTGTAATAGGCCATGCGGCACTTGTAAGGTTTGAGAATGAGAAGGTAAAGAATTCAGGGAGACCTCCCACAGATGAATTTCCCCAAACTAGGAGCCGTCAAGCTGGTTCCGAAGAAGGAATTCTTGTGACAAAGCCCCAGGACGAGAGTAACATGGGGCGGCAGGTTCTGAAAATCCGGAAGTAGGCCGCAGATGTTCCCCTTGAAGCCCGGTATATATGCCTACTCGTGTCGTATGCCCTTTAATAGGGTGCTTATTATGCACATGGGGTTGGGGCTGTGTGGAACCCTGAGGTGAATGTGCCACGGGAGAATGGCTCGGGGCCCCTCGGCAAGCGCGGGCTCACTGCGATCCGGGGTCCAAACAGGCACCGGGCTGAGTTGTTGTTGAAGCAGGGAGTTTCGCTGTCACTGACGCTTGCAGCAGCACAAGCAGTACTACTGTAGGGGCTTAGAGTAATCACTCATCTTGCGGTTCTAGGTTCCATGTCTAACTGATAAATAGGGTACTTCAAATATACCTCAAATATTTCCAGGCCCTTGCGAAGATATGGCTTGCTGAAACGTCGATTCTGCCTTTTCCCTGCAATGAGCCCACATCCTAAGCACAGTGTTCCTTGTCGAAGGATCGACCGATCAAAGGCAGAGGTCCGGGACCAAGACTTGGCCAGGTCATACTCCTGTCTACTATGGTACCCAATATTACCCCAATAATGGAGAATCAAATGGAAAAGAAAATGGAAAATGAAATGGAAACCCTAGGTCCCTTTAAAGGGGTATTTTAACCTGAAATACAGGCAGTACGCTTGGTGCTCCAGTGCCGACTGTTCAGCGCCAGCACATGAGCCGTGGCAGAGCAGCAAGCGAATGTCTCGTAGTTTGGGCCCCCGAGCCCCTGCCTACTGCCTAAGATAGTCTGAAGCCATTCTTTCGAATGAGGAGATTGAAAATGAAGGGCCTTGGTTTTGGAACATAGCCAAGCAGGTAGGTAGATGCTCCTTAGTTCACCAGCTGAGGCAGATGTGAAGACCCTGATTGAGGCGTTCAAGCGCGGCGGGCCCGCGGAAGTGCGAAAGCAGCAAAAGGAGACATAGCTGAAATGTGGTGTTACTGTACAAAGGTTACTACCTTATTATTATTATTATTAGTAGTAGTAGTGGTGGTAGTAGTAGTAGTAGTAGTAGTAGTGTAGTAGGTTGTTATTACCTTATAAACCTTATGTGGTTATCGTAGAATGTACCCCCACACCTTATTCAAGTGAGTGAGGCCTCTACAAAATGTGATTGTCATTTGTGATTTAAGCAGGGATTACGGGGACTGTGGGGAGTAGGGATTGCCAAGGAATTATGAAGACGTGTCCGTGTCTGCAGAGTTTCCGCAGGCTTGCTGCAGGTCTTCTAGAGCATACAGCTTCCTTGGGTAAAACAATTGTAGGCCTGAGACGCAGGTTTGTCAAGGTCGATCCCTTTGGGGCGGTAACGTCACAACTCCGGAGTGCATACTGCTGTCAGCAGGCGACCCGTTACACACCCCCACTAAAGGGCCCACATTTTCGCTGCAGTTTGAAGACTTATCCCTGCAAACCTATCGGAACATCCGGGCCGTGATTCCAATGCAGGAAGGCACGACTGGGCTAACCAAGGATTTCAGTCTTTGTTCTTTGTGCACACTTCTAGGCTTCCACCCGGCAGAATGCTTGCTCGACAATGCACAAACAAGAAATCTCCTCATTTCATTCAGGGAGGTGCTTTCATCTCATAATGGGCTTACACGGACTGTTGTTTAAAGCACCCATTCACAAGCCACAAGTAGGCATATACATTTCACTCATTTGGTAGCCGTGCGCACGTACCGCCGAAACTACCCTAATCGCGCGGCATATTCTTGCTTCAAAAACATGACCATCTAATTTTCCCAGGCGTAGACTGAATCATTATGCTTCCGCCAATCTTCAATTGGTCCCACCTCCCACTCCTAAACTTGGGCTAGGCTCCCACCCAGTCACAGCGGCATTTTTGGAACATATGGAGACCTTGCTATGATCACCGCTACCCCATGCTTCTTACTTGGGGACCTAACCTAACCTTGAACCCTAAACACCAACCCTAGGGTTTAGTGTTTAAGGTCTTGAGTACTGCCACGGTGGATACTAAACGTCTTGCATGACCCTAAGTATCTGATACTTATAGCTTGGGAAGTATGGTGTATTATAGTATACCAAAGTCATGCAGGGTTTTCAATAGCAACAGAAAGACTAGAACTACTTTCAAATCCGAAAAGTAGCCCATGTTGTAACACCAATAATGTAGTACTTTTCGTATTTTTCCACGTCTTCATTCCATCATTCCCTCAACACAGCACGCAAACGGTAGCCGGTAGCTTCCTTGGTCTGTTCCATTCCTTCATTCACTGCTAACAGACAGCATGAACACTGCACATCTAAGGAGTTGAACAGGTCCTGGGTCAATTAACTCGAGCCGCAGCCTCACTGTGGCTTTGCCTGCTTGTTTTTAGTAATAGGGGGAACCGGTATAGGAGAGAATTCAGGGGTATGTAAGGAGATATCGAGCTCAGGGATGAGGGACCAGGGTTTGAAAGCTTGTGTTTCGCGGCCGCTCCTTACGTGGGAAACAGTCATATTTGAAGGGGTATATAGGGAGACCCTAAATGCTTGGAACACCCATCTGAGAAAAAGGCCTTTTTGGGGGTGTTGCCACGTCTTGGGCTAGAAGGAGTGGAGGGGTGAACATTTGGCAGCACACAGATTTTCATAGAGCTGACCTGATTAGACAGTAAGCGGTACCACAGTCGCATAAAATGGGATGATTCTCGGCGTTCTGTTTTTGGGATGGTTGGGAATGCTGAAGAATCTCCCTCGTTTCTGAGGCTTCGGTATGCCGGCTGAATCGATGGAGTGAAGACAGTGAAGACCTTTCACCAAAGAATGGTCAATCTTATCAGGTTATTTCACCCTTTAGCAGTTTGGGTCCCAGCATTTAGGGATGTACAGAAGACTTGCAGCAGCGGATGCCTTGGTTAAGAATAGGACTCTGGATGTTTGGATATCGCTAGCCGCAGAATCAGAGATCAAGCGGGCTGCACAGCCTCAAGAGTTTCAGGTGAACAGGGTTTTGCAAAACCTTCTCTAGCCTTCCTGTCATTGTAAGCGGTGGACCCACTCACAAAGACTGCTTTAGATTAGCAGGCAGACGACCCAGCAAGCATAGCGAACGACAGACTCGCGGGAGCCATGAAAAATCGGCCCGGAGAGGACAGATGAGAGTGCCGTTGCTTCACAATCCAAGGGCTCGAGGTTTTCCTAGCTCTTCTCCTGAAGATATCACATTGCACCGACGGCGATACCACCAGAAAATCATAGGTAGATCAGGTTCTCCTGAACGCCTGCCAATATATACCATAGCTCTTGCTACATGAGGGCTGTTTCCAAGATGTCCCAGTTCTGGATACACTCTACAAACCAGTTCGACTATAATACCTTTTTTGATCCCTCCCAATATGTCCAAACATGGGCATTCAATTTCTCAAAGCAGTCTAGTCTCACAATATCCCTCGGGTCAGTAAGAGACACTTGTCGACGCTGAGGACACAGAAGCAGAACAACAGCAGAACCCAGAGAGCCCAACACCTCTTAATTAAGGGTGTAGAGTTAGAGTTAAGGGTTTAGGGATATACCTTAAATTGTATTAGTGGTTTTATTGACATCTAAGGTCTTTTCCAAGAATAAAGCTGTATTTGGCCCTCTGGGAGTTGTGCTTTGTTTGAGTCCCAAACCATCCCGGCCTTTCCGTAATCCTGCTTTTTGGGGTTTGCGCGGACGTCACGGTCACATTCTCGAGGCTGATGGGTTTTTTGCCCGGGCCCGTTTTGTAACATGGAACCTTTCATACTGCATGGAAGTTTTTTGAATTTAATGAATAGGGAGGCCCCTTCCATGACCCAATATACCGTAGTTTTTCTTACAGGACTCAAAAGGAAACCCCAGTATTAATGCAGACATTTTGGATAACAACAGCAGTCGGTGAAGGCAGGCTTTGTAAGTTCAGCTTTGGCTTGGAAATGCTTAAGGTTCATGCTCCGGAGGTAAAACGGTTTAGAGCTTGGAGAAGGGTTTTGGGGGGGTCTGTGCAGTCAGCTGTTCTCAGACTCATGCATGTGTTTTAGTTTTTTTGTCATGGGCGCGTCTTATAATTCTAGTGTCTATTCAGTCCCGGAACCACAGGATACGGCCCCTGTTTTGCATATGCCTACTGCAGGGAGGAAGCGTGAAATTGTCCGGGGCTCCTGACAGTTTCTGATGTCTCTAGGTGGTTTCGCTTGACTTCCGTTCGAATGTGCGCGCTGCGTGAAGATGTTCCGTACTTCAGGATGCTTTTTCAAATGGCATGCGCGCGGGACACCTAGAGGATGTAGAGCAGGAGTCTGAAAAACAAGCGCCTGATGTTCAGGGTGAGTTTCAGTTTGAGGGTTGACGGCCCAAACCTCAATCGCAGTGGGGGTCAAGGTGTATTTAAAGTCTGGACGTGTTTGGTTGTGGGAAAGGCCTTGATTCATCGGGCCTCCGCAGCCCTAAGCCAAACGCTCTTCAAGCAGCCTGCAATTGCCGCGGTTGAGCCAGACTCGCTTGCGCCCCTTTGCTCCAGCGGAGAACTCTGACATGTTTGGATTCAGGGTTGGGTGAAGTTTCAGACTATTGATTCTCTCGAAGGTCCCGGGAATGCTTGATACGGCTCCCATCATTATGAATGTCATGGTTGTTGACCGTTTAGATTGCCACTCACGGAAGACATTGGCATGTAGGCTCACCGTCGGGTAGGTTATGGCCAGTCTCATATCCCCAAGACCCCTACTCAAGCAAAGCTTTCATGACATGGGTCCATTGTAAATGATAGGATTTCCATGGACAGGTATCCTATATTTAGGTGAGGTCCTGAAGTCCGAACCGTTTGATTGCGATGGCGGTGTGAGATCATTTGAGCATCCGCCGCCAGAGGCACGGGCGTGGGGAAAGGGTTGCCATGACACTGCGACCCCCTTTTCTGGGGCCCATCTGCTAGGGTGTTACTGTTTATCTAGGAAGTATTGCACCACCCATACCACAATACACAAGAGCATGTTAGGAGGTGCAAGGTTTGCTCCATGCCCAGGTGGCATTGTGATGCTTACCGTTAAGGGTGTTGGCTACACCGACACCAACATGTGTACATTGCTTGTGGGGGGGGGCTGGGCAAGAGGTGTTCTCAAAAACATGTTTCTGAGGACCACACAAATATTGGGAAGAGGGAACATTTTTGTTAGGTGGCTTAGACGTCATCCCAAACCTGAAAGCCGAAGGCCCAGGCGATGACCCCGAGACCATGGCAATGGCGAAAGACCTTATCACCAACCTTCTCAGGACCGGAATCATCTTCATTGCTGTTAGGGAACTTAAGGTAAGTGAGCAGTACATGGGTATGTTGCGAATGATGTGATTTCCGTCTTCTTAGTAACTTGCTTGAAGTTCCGTACCAGCAGCAAGTCATTTTCGGACTTGGGTTTCGAAACATGGCAGCTCCTTTTTGGGGAGTCCCCATCGGAAGGATGCCATCTTATTTTGGGGATATGGGGGCTTCCTAAATTAGGTGTACCGTTTTTGGTGGTCCCATAATAGGCTTATAATATATTGGGGTCTATATTGGGGTCCCCTTATGTGGGGAAACTACCATATCTAAAGATGAGCTAGCAGCAAAATGTTTGGAAGCATCCAGATGGTTTCGTGGTTGGGAATCGAGGGGCTAAGCCTTTGGCGGCTTAAGTTTGGGGTAGCGTCAGAAAGACTCAAGAATAGATATCTTGTTTTCTGTTCTGGATGCTCATGAACCGCGAAAAGGCAAGCCCTGTTAGCAATGTCATGCTCATGACATCGTGTCTGATACAGCGGCCTGGACATTAACCCGTATGGTAGTTTTAGATGTTTCGCATAACTATGGCATGCGGTCTCTCATCAAGACCTCAAAACACACTTGGTTATTCGGGCTTCTACAGTCATGTGTAGTTATTTAGGTTTCTACATTATTACGGTTCGAAGGGGTCTCCGAGGAGTGGCTCTGCGGCTTACTGAGAAGGGACGCGTTGCAGGGTAAGAAGGGGAATATGGGGGCGTTCTCAAAATTGCGGTCCCTATCACAAACATCAAGATTTCGACCCCCCATACGGGAAAGCCCCCACTTAGCTGCTGTACTGTGGGAGACTTGAGAAATCGCGTGTGCATGTTGGTGCTTTCTTGTTGTGTTATTCATCAACCAGAACAACTGCTGTCGTTCTGTTGCAAGGTTTTACTTTGGTGAAAAAACAGCACGAGAGCACTGTTTTTTCTCCCAGGCTTTATGTTCAAGGCTGTTTACCTTGGAAATGGAAGAAGCTGTTAGAGTAGCATCAATAGCTCGAAGGCCAAGACAAATAATGCAGACTATTGAATAGCAACAATAAAGATCGTAATATACGCAAGAAGTGATGCCAATGATATAGGCATGTTCTCTTTTAGGGACTTCAACTTATGAACTGTCCTTTCAGTGGCCGACATTTGGCTCCATGGTTTCTAGAGGAGGGTATTTCTTCTCATATCCCTATATTTGCCATACAGGTCCCGGCATGTCCATGTACGTTGCATGGGCTTCTGTGCTTGCTTAGGGTCTGCGTGTTGCTGATCTAGGGAGGACAACGCGCAGAACCATGACCACCAGCATTGTACAAACAAGCCAAGCACGCCCGACATTTGTTTACGCATTCCTGTCGCCACTGGTTACAGATGCTCAGATTCTACCCTAGTGAGGTCTAGAGCAAGGAGCAATTAGCGAGCTCATCAAGGTTTTTTGTCGCACCTGGCGCACCCCAAGCGCTTTAGAGATTTGCGTATTTTCTGAAATTAGGGTCCTCCAAGAGTCCATTCCTTGCTTTATAAGAGCCCAAATTGAAAAGGGCCCCACAACTTTGACAAAAGCCTATTTCTTGAAAGCTCCTGCGCAGGAGCAGCTTGTTGAGGCAAGGACATCCAACTTGTCTAACGTTTTCGCTTCCTGTGCCCTAACGGCAAAATCCTACCAGCTGTAGATTGGACTACAAATGGTTTGTATACCATGGGGAGAAGTTTTGACATACAGCCCAAAGACAGTAGTCATTGAATTTATAAATGCCCTGCCGAATTAGGGGCTTCCAGTTCAAAAGCCTCCAGTGTCCTCATTGCTAGTAGCCACGACACCAGGCCCCTGGTTCCGAGAGAAAGCTCACTTGCCCTGCTCAAGCTAGACCTGACATGTAATTACATATGGATTGATCTCAGCGACAAGATACTTTGGATTCCTATCGGGATTAAGGTTTCAATGCCAGTGCAGATGAAACTCAACTATTGATCATCACAGATTCAAGAACCACCTTGACCGAGTTTGTGAGCATGGGGCAGCAAGAGACAGAACCA